CGCGCCCCGCCCCGCCCCGCCCCGCCTCAGAGTTACAAGCTACAAGTCAGGAAGGAAGCTGAAGGGGCGAACCGCGCACCCACGTATCCTAATCAGTGACAATCAAGAAAGTAATAAGCTCCAAACTGTGCTCGAAAATGGTACAATTTTGGCTGCCAAACCTGTGTAACACCCGCGTAACAGGGTTGGCATAGAGTACAACACTCAAACCGTTTGATCCGCGCAACGAAAACGGAACCCAAGAAAATTTTAATGGCGTAAGACAAATTTTGGTCACCCTTATCACGTGATTTAGTCATGTTAATAAAGGTGTGATCGACCTGATCATATTTTGTTTAGATTCTTGATCAAATGTTTAGTTGGCTTGAGGGAGTAAATTTTCAGTGATTCAACACTTTTTTGGTTATCACGACAAAATGCTTTTCTCAGTGTAAACGACTACAAGATTCGGCGTCCTGGGCGTAAGAAGCTAGGTTGGACGTCGGCTGTGTAAACTGCACACGACAATTTCCAGTGAAAACTCCCTCGGCTCCACCTCAAACAAAAGTATGACAAAAAATAATGGAAACGAACCGAGAAGGCGCTATGTACCACCCGGCACACACATGGCCCCTGACCGCACCGTTTCCAGACAGGTCAGGTGGTGACACAGTGGTGTGTGTTTGTGTGTGTGGCCGTCGCCACGGCACAGCAGCCACCCAGCCGCCCGCGCGCCGGCACTCACGGGTCAGTGCCCTGTCCTGCTCGGGCCCGGCTGGGACCCGGGACTGGCCGTGCGACGCTGCTGCGCTGTGCTGCGCCTCGCTGTAGCGTCGCCAATGGGCGGAGGAGGGCAAGCCGGGCAAGCAAGCAAGCAAGCACAGAAAGAGATAGAGGGGTACAAAGCAAAGTACCACACATAATTGGTAATCTATGTTGTTATTATGTGTGTTTTGTGTCAACATTATGTAAAGCTCGACATGCTATGCATCTCAGCCCGGCAGGTGGTGTGTTGTCTCTATCGAGGAAACGGAATGTAATATAATTGCCAGACGAATTGTTCAGAACCGTTCTGACACTTCCAAATCCCCATAACATTGACGCATACGACCCGCTGCTGCTGCTGCTTTGCGTCTCCTGAATCCCCCGCCCCCTTTTTATTTCCTTCTATACATCGCAACCGGAAATGATTTAAAGAAGAGTATCGTGAAAGGCCTTGCGGCTGAGCCTGGCTGCGCCATGGTCGCGACGAGATGCAGGCTCCCCCCCCCCCCCTTTCTCCCGGCAGTCCCGCGTTGGACAGATCGACACTAATGCATGGCAGCGCGCTCGGCGAGCAGGACCCAGCGAGAAATGAGTGTTCGAATTGACCTCGAATCGACGTCGACTGCTCGAGAAGTTATCGTTGGTCCTGAAACGAAGTTGTCGACGAAATTTCGATGTTACTCGAGAAGTGCCCTATGACACGGCTTAACTCAGCCAATGTGTCTTAAAGTGTTACAGAACGGTTCCTGGTACTACATTGCAAGAAATTTCGTATTGTACATGATCGATGTCGATTCGACGTCGATTCGAGACAGGGTCTTCCCCTGACTGTACAGTTAGCTCTCGCTGGTGACGCGCAACGCCAAAACAACTATAGGCTGGAGACGTATTCGTTCGGGCGCGGGAGGTGTCCGTCACGGACTTCATCTCTTGCAATAATTTTTGAACGTGTAGGCGACGCGGGTGTACGGACACCAACAGTCGCTATTGGACTTAGTTCAACTGTTGAAATCCGTCCCTTCAGTCCCCTTTCGATAAAGTATCGAAATAGTCGATGTCGAAAAAACGTCGATTTGCGGGACAAAATCCCGTCGATTCGACATTTGTAATCGACAATTTTTCGACCTGCCCAATCGACGTCGATTCGAGGTCGATTCGACCACTGATTTCTCACTGGGGGAGGAGGTCCACAAACGGGGGCGTATCAGCCCCTTTCCCGCTCCGGGAGAGGGAGAGAGAGAGAACGACGAGAGTAGGAGAGAGAGGGAATAAATATATCTGAATAAGAGGGACATTATTATTGATGGTGCAGGCGGAAAAAGCCTCTGGCGAATCTCACCCCTCTCCCCTCTGTTCCGCACCCGTACCCGCGCGTTGTCCGCGACTCGGTTGGCAAAAGCCCAGCTCGCGGGGCCTTCGGCGGGGGCAGGCAGAGTACAAAGTATTCTGTACTCTGTGTGTGAATACAAAGTATTCTGTACTCTGTGCTCTCTCGGGGCGGGTATCATCATAGGGCCTGCTGGCAGCAGGCGCGTGGTGGGCGGATAGGAAAGGACCTCGTCCAAAGTTGGGGGCCGTGAAGGCGGGCGGAGCGGGGAGAGAGCTCGCGAGCAGCTCGGTATGACAACAACGGCTTTGTCCTCCTCCCTCCCATTCCTATCTGCTCACTATTCTCTTTCTATCTCCATCCCGGAGCAGCTACACATGCAAACGCGACTCAGGGAATCTTGAGAGACTTTTGCACACGTAATGACGGGGACGGAAGAATAATTCAGCAGCAGAGTCTGTACTCTGTCACTGTGAAAAATATCGTCGTAAGTTTACAAAAAATTTGTAAACTTGAATTATAACTGAAGTTGTAAATTTACGACAGCACATTTTTTATTCGCCAAGGGATTTGAAGTCGATACATTCTGCATGTATTTTTACGATTTCAAATTGTAATTTTACAACTTGGGTCAAGGAAAATTTTTCTATAAACCTACCTACTTTTTTTCACAGTGTGTACTCTGTCAATTCAAATGTGTACGTGGTATACTTTAAATAGAGTGTGGGTGTACACGGTATGTATACTTTAAAGAATGTACCGGGTGTAACAGTGAGTACACAGCAGTGTTGCGGGTTTGCCTCTTTGCACCCTTAAGAGGCCGTAGCCCCTGCGGCCATATTGGATATGCAATCCCGCAACACTGCTGCGCGTATTCACAGTTACACCCGGTGTTCATGTACGCATTTCCTACACATATGCCATGTACACTTTATAAAGATGTGTCCACGGACATGCACACATTTACAAATGCGT